CCTCATCCATCCCCCTCACTAGCTAACCATTCATTGTACAATTGCATTGCTAGTGTACCCTGCCACACAGTCCATTCATTAGATGTCTCCACAGTATTAATGAAATCATCTCCTATTGGCGGTTGATTTTCTTCGTCATCATCGTCATCCTCTATAAGGTCAACTGCCATCTCTCATCCAATGAAGTTGTGTAACAAACAACATGCTATGATAATACGATTTTTGGTTCTAATGGGGCAGTATGATGATTGCCCATCTCATTTTCAACAATCCAAAACACCTTTCTATGACATTCTTGGCTTGTGTATGTTTCCTATTGAAATATTCTTGGTAATTACTTGAAGTTGCCCTTTCTCTCCAAACAGACAAATGGTATCATTGACCACGATAAGGTGCTAAGAATCCTTGCCCATTCGTATAGCCCACATCCACTAAGTAGTAGTAACCTGTGTGTGGAATATTATGCATTAAACTCAATTATTATACATGAACTTAAAAAGAATTAAGTATCTTGAAATTACCATTAGGAATCCTTAGGCCATTAGGCCGATTGATCACATCTCTTAAAACCCTAGAGTAGGCCGCTGACCCTTCCCACCCTGGCAACACATATATAAAATTCATTTGTTGGAAGCAAACTCCTAGAACATTAGTAGCAATATCTCCCTTTCTTGTCCTATACCTTGCTTGATGAATCACAGGTACACAAACTCTAATATAGGTGTCATCAAGTGCTCCAAGACAATTCTAAACAAACCAGTTGAATAGATATTGTAATAGTTATGTTTTTTTTTTAAGAGAACAAAAGAAAAGAAAAAAAAAAAGTAACGTAAAGTTACCAAATTTGTGGACAATATATTTACGTGGAAGCAATTCCACCTTGGATTTGTGTTTGCTTCGGTAATAGGATTTGGTGTGCTAAGTAAGTTGGCTTGCAGACGTAGCACAGCCTTTAAGACATCATTGACATATCGACTGACAATCTGTCCAGATCTATAGAAATTGAACTTAACATTTCGTATTTTCAAGTGTTGTGCCAAAATGAAGAGGAAGAAGGCCATCTTCTTTTCTAAAGTGACATGTTTTGAAGGTCCTAACCCATCAATTGTATGAATCATATTGCACAAGGTCATAAAAGAACGATGATCCAAACGGAGTTGTTCAATGCATGTTATGTCACTTTTGGTCACTAAACAGTTAATATGGTCCATTTGTTCTTGCAACCGATTGGGTCCTCTAATAAGATTATGTGGATACTTAGATAAATACTTATTCAAGATAACTTTAATGGCAATAGAAGCTACAGTGCATAAGGCAAATAGTTCTTGCATTACAACTTGCAATACTACGTACAATTGAAGCTCATCATTACTCTCATCGTCAAAGTCATTGATATTCTCATCCATCTATGAAAATAAATTATCATACAAAAACCATTTAGAATTACAAATAATTTAAAGAATGGAGCATCTCTAGGCATATAGATAACATATAAGAATTTGCAAACAGCATAGATGTAATTTCCGTAGAAAACTCAATTATTAAGGAATTTGCAAGCAGCATAGATGCGTATAGATAACTCAATTATTATACATGAACTTAGGAAGAATTAATTTTTATTTCAATTTCTAAATTAATGATGGCAATTTCCGTATAACAACCAACTATGTTTCAAGGCTAAAAAAAAAAAAAAAACAGAGACCTAATGTCCATTAACAATCGAGCATTATCTATTAACAACAAACAACAACTAGCAGTATCCATTAACAACAAACAATCAGCAGCAACATGTTTTTTCAATGCTAAAATAAAAATAAAAATACAAACTCAGTACCCAGCAAAATAGACAGAATAGAAACAAAATCCCTCATATTGAAAAAAGAGAAAAAAACGATCTCTGTAAAATCCCTCAAATCTGGTTTGATGAGGAGAGCAAAAAAAAACTTGTAAGAAAGAGAAAGAGAATAAAATCTCAATCAAATTAGCCACAACAACAACCAAAATTGAAATAAAAATAAATAGCAAACAAAATGGAAGATGTAGAAAGTGTTTCAAACCTGAGTGTAGATGGGAGATCGAATGATTTGATGTAATCCAACCTCAAGAAGAAGAATCGCCTGCTAGGGTTTTGTCGTTTTTGCTTCTTCTAAAATAACAATCTCTGCCAAAAACAACAAAGGAAGCAAATTATATATTATGAGGGCAAAATAGACTTTTTACGATTTAATCCCATGGGATTGTTATCCCATGAAAATTGTTCCCCCCTGAACAATGTAATCCCACATATGAGGGATAAGAAGTCTGGCCGGATTCCATGTCCGGCGGACTAAAAAAAAAAAAACAAACGCCGGATAAAGGGTTTTCAATGGATTATAATCTAATCCCATATCCTAATCCTTCCAATCAAACATCTCCTTAGTGGTGGGAAATAAATCATGCTCTTGATTAATCTTCGCTTAACAATCACCCTGATCGTACTTCTAGTATCCCATAGTTTATATGCATTCATCCTTTACCAGGCTTTTTGAAAATTAATTGTGATGCTCGTTTCTCCAAACTCGATGACCGAGTGGTCTTAATAGTATTGGTTGAGAGATTTGAGAAGAGATTTAGAAATAGAAAGAGAAAAAATATGTAAAAATAGATAAAATGTAAATATATTTTATTCACATTGCACTTCATTTTTTCTTTTCTTTTTCAAATCTTTTTCCAAATCTCATAATCAAACACAACGTTAAGGAATGGGCAAGGGAGGCTAATTAATGAAGTTGTCTCTTCAGTCTTCTCATTTTCAGCCCAGCAAGGGAAAGCTCCACTAATTCGTTTGGTGTGCTTATTCTCTCAAGCCTTGGGTCTTTCTAATGTTCAAATGAAGAATTACAACAAAGCAATGATTGAATTGTGTGTGTCGAAATTGGTTCCTCCGTGGGATTGTCTTGCCATAATTCACGACATTTACTCTTTAAGCTCCAATTCTAACATTTCATTCTCTTGGGTCCCTGGGGAGGCCAATGGAGTTGCTTATTGGCTAGCAAAAGGCTTACTTTCGTCTGGGATGTGGGTTGACTTTTTGGCTTTTTAGCTAAAGCCTCGTTTGGAATGATTTTTTTTTTTGACTTTTGTGAGAGAAATAATGAAATGATTATGGTTTGGATGTGATATTTTGTCTTATTGACTTTTTAATTTTTTTTTTGTCTTTTTGTGGCTAAAATAGCCAAAAAAGATTATCCCAAACGTAAAAGATGTTCTTCCTTTAGATTGGGTTTCAAACTCTCGTTTTGCTCTTAGGGACCTGTTAATTTTTTATTCCTCTTTGTAGCCTTTCGGGCATTTTCCTATTAAAAAAAAAAAAGTACTGTTATTAACACCTCATCAATTATTTTAGACCCCCCATATCTTTGGACCCCCACTTATAAATTATAAAACCCTTAAAATTTCTTTCATTCCCCAAATAATATCAAAATTATTATTGTAAAAATATTTCACTTATTCAAATGCACACCCTTACCCCCCATGCCCCCTACAACCCAAAAAGTCTCTCTTCCGAAACCTAACAAAACCCACAACGATGGAACCTTCGAAAGCCAATGGAAAAAATTTGTGGTGATTAAGAAATTTTTTCTCTACTTTATCATGAGATTTGTCAATCTGTTTGATTTTTTTTTCTATTACCTCTTTTCACACACACAACACAATCTACTTTCATATTTCTTTGGTTAGTTTTCTATCATTCATCCATGGCCTCACTGTACTTGTATGCTCTCTATGTGAGCAAAATTGGGCAGGATTTCACCCACCTGTTGACCATCCAAGGGTGATCCGACCTCCTTTATTTGCCTGCTTCTGCTACTGCTTCTGTTATATATTCTCGAACAAATCAGAAATGTTTGGTTACCTATTCCCGAACAAATAAACAATGTTCGACCTTGTATTCCCGAATTTCAATCGTATGTTCGGGAGTTCAGTCTCGAAAAAATAATGAACAGTATTTATTATTTTTGTCATTTTTTTCAAAAAACTTATCCTTACAAGGCCAATTTTCTCTGAGATAAAAACACCATAAAAATTATTGATTTCTTCTAAACTTTTATTGTTGTACTCATCTCGTCTCATGTAATTATGATTGTCAAAAAAAATTTCACTCATTATCATTACCAAAGAAGTGTATGTAAATAAATGGTTATTACCATTGTCATCGGATTATTGCTGCCAAAGAGTTTTTAAGATTTTGATGGTGAGATTTAGGAAAGATAGATGGGTGGTGATAGAGGTGAGTACTCTCATAAGCCCTAACTTATGATGTAGTGGGTACGTGAGTTTAATTGTGAGATGGGGTGTCCCAAAATTATTAATGTTTTTTTTAGTAATTTTATTTGAGGTTATTATTGTAATAAAAAAAATAAAAAATGAAAAATTTAAAATAATTGATGGGATACTAATAGCAGCACTCAAAAAAAAAAAATGTACCCACAACACACTAGTGAGAAAATAACCCATCCAAAAAGATACGAGTTTGAGGCAGGTCTCGGAGTGAAAAAGGTGAGCTGTAAAATTTATAATTTTGAAATATTTATAAATTTTTTAAAGTGTATATGAAGACAAAATTAATAAAAATTTGGATGTACATATCAAATTAAACCCAGACTTTAACTTTAAATATTAAATTATTTAAATTTCACAACACACTAGTGAGAAAATAACCCACCCAAAAAGATACGAGTTTGAGGCAGGTCTCGGAGTGAAAAAGGTGAGCTGTAAAATTTATAATTTTGAAATATTTATAAATTTTTTAAAGTGTATATGAAGACAAAATTAATAAAAATTTGGATGAACATATCAAATTAAACCCAGACTTTAACTGTAAATATTAAATTATTTACATTTAAATTATAGGGATTAAAATGAAATTTAAATCAAATTTAAATTGAAAACTGTAATTAAAAAAAAAAAAAAAAAAAAAAGGAAAGAAAAAGGCTTCAGCTGCCATAAGTAATGATAAAAACATGGAAACAGAGTTGATCACTTGATCCCCTTAGCCCCCACCTCTCCCATGTTCCTTTTCATTACTAATCAGTACACAACGCAACAGTGGCTCATACAAGCACACCAATAAGCATAAATAGATGTACTCTTGAACTCAATCTCAGGGTTTTGGAATCAGATTTTGTTGCTTTTACTCGATCCAAGAACATCAAGATTCAAGAAACAGAGCTGGGTTGTTCGATTTAGATGGGTTTGAAGGTGCTGTACCTGTACTGATGTCATTGTTCTGGATTGTCATTCGTCAACTCGCCGAAATTGAAGCAATGGTATAATCAACACCCAAATTTACAAACCCTCTTCTTGTTTTCATTTTCAACTTCTTAGATTTCAACTAGTTCTTGATTAGTTTTTACTCAATTGACATGTTTAATTAATCAATTTTTGTATTTGTCTGTCTTCACTGTAATCAATTTGTGTTAGATTCTAGGGTTTTATGAGAAAAAGATGTTTGGTTCTGTACTTGCTGTATTGTTTGGAAAGTGTTTCACAAACTGAAATTTTGTACAGAATTTATGTATACCACAATGATGTGGCAATGATAATCTTGAAAATATAAGCTATATTGATGGGCTTTTGTTTTTGAAGTTGCAGAAATTCTTTATAGATCTTTTGTTTGTTTGTTTGTATAGCACTATACATAAATACATATAGAAATCCCATGGAAATGTGGTAGCAAATTGATACATACATATAGAAAGCTTATGTATACAATCAATATTTTTCTATTTCATCATTAAATTATTAATTTCATGAATTTAATCTCTAAATCGTTTTAATGTTAACTAATGTGATGTAATCCAATCAGAGGCGATTTTCCAAATCAATAACAATTCAAGACTAATTTGATGGGCAAAAGGGTCAAATTGAAATTTTGAACAACTAAACCCAAGGTTTTAAAAAGCGGCCGCAACCGTTACGTAACGCCGTTACGTAACGGTTGTGGTAGTTACCGCCACCCGTTACGGCCGCTTTTGCAGTATAATTGAGATTCACAGAAGTATGGGCCGTAGCGGCTGCTATAGCTAACGGCGCCGTAACAGCTGTAACGGCCTGTTACGCACCGTTACGTAACGGTTCCGAATTGCTTCTTTTGAAAAAAAAAAAAAAAAAAAAAAAAGTTGAAAATGGAGGAAGAGCAAGGTTTTAAAAAACGGCCGCAACCGTTACGTAACGCCGTTACGTAACGGTTGTGGTAGTTACCGCCACCCGTTACGGCCGTTTTTGCAGTATGATTGAGATTCACAGGTGTATCGGCCGTAGCGGCTGCTATAGCTGTCGTAACGGTGCCGTAACAGCTGTAACGGCCTGTTACGCACCGTTACGTAACGGTTCCGAATTGCTTCTTTCGAAAAAACACACAAAAAAAAAAAAAGTTGAAAATGGGGGAAGAGAGAGAAGAGGGAAGATGGAGGAACAAGAGATAGAGAGAGAGAATAGGGAAGATGAAGAGCATGTATTGATTTGTTGAAGTTGTGAGACCTATGCTATTCTATTCAGCTGCTATCACTCAACATTTTTTGTTTGTGTGTGTCTATCTATATATTGTTTGAAAAATAATATATAATATATAATAAATAATATAAAAGTGTGGTCATTAACCTATTTGGCTTGGTTAAAATATGTATATATATATATATATATTTGGGCTTTTATTTATTCTCTTACTTTTGTCATTGTTAATCTTATATATAATAGTTAGTGATTTATTTTTTGTATAATATAAAGTCATTAATTATTAAAATAAAATGTAGAAAATTCAGTTTATAGTGATTTAAAAATATGAAATATATTAGATCAAACTTAAAAATTTATAAAAATTGATCAAAATTTATTTTAAAACCCAATAAATATGATCATGGAAAAAAAATGTGCGTATCGGTAAGTTTTATTCAAATTGTGCGAAAAATAAAAAAATTCACGATTCCAGTCACCGCAACCGTTACGCTATGGCCTTTACATTCCACAACCGCAACCGCGTCACCGCCACCGTTACGGCGACCGTAATCGCTTTTCAGAACCTTGGGGAAGAGAGATAGAGAGAGAAGAGGGAAGATGTAGGAACAAGAGATAGAGAGAGAATAGGGAAGATGAAGAGCATGTTATTGATTTGTTGAAGTTGTAAGACCTATGCTATTCTATTCAGCTGCTATCACTCAACCATTTTATTTGTGTGTGTCTATCTATATATTGTTTGAAAATAATAATAATAATAATAAGTGTGGTCATTACCTATTTGGCTTGATTAATATATATATATATATATATTTAGGCTTTTATTTATTCTCTTACTTTTGTCATTGTTAATCTTATATATAATAGTTAGTGATTGATTTTTTGTATAATACAAAGTCATTAATTATTAAAATAAAATGTAGAAAATTCAGTTTATAGTGATTTAAAAATATGAAATATATTAGATCAAACTTAAAAATTTATAAAAATTGATCAAAATTTATTTTAAAACCCAATAAATATGATCATGGAAAAAAAATGTGCGTATCGGTAAGTTTTATTCAAATTGTGCGAAAAATAAAAAAATTCACGGTTCCAGTCACCGCAACCGTTACGCTATGGCCTTTACATTCCACAACCGCATCCGCGTCACCGCCACCGTTACGGCGACCGCAACCACTTTTCAGAACCTTGACTAAACCATACAATCAAACATTCAATTTTGTATTCACTATTTTGAAATGCGGGGTGGAGAAGAAGACGGTTGTTTGGTTGTGGGTTGTAAGTTGTCTAATATAGTGTGAGTAAGATGGGTTTTTGGTGGTATGATTTAAATTGTTCATATTGTAAAATTACCTTTTTGCCCATTAGGTTAGGTTTCCACCATTATTGATTTGGATGGACTGTCTCCTATTGGACCGTATGAACTGAAACAGAAACCGTTATATGAACTGAAATCATTTACAGCCAATTACTATGACAATTGTGTTATTCTGTGACAAGTCGTGTTTCCGATTCAGATAGAAGTGTCAAAACCATAATCATTACAGAAAATGGGGTCCATTGTGATAACTGACTATTTTTGTTTTTTTTTTTAAATAATTTTTTTGAATTTCTTGTACTGTATTGTTGAGTTTCTTGAATTATGTCTGGCCCATTGCCATAACAGATAGCAGAATTGAGTTTCTTCTTTTGTGTTGCTCTTTTCTTTTACAGTAACATATTCACTCTGATCAATTTGTATAGAAGATTATATATGACTAATGAGAGAGTGGTTGTTGAGAACATATTCTTGGTAATTTTTGATGTGGAAATGTGACTGTCTAAATTTTCTTTGTTAACAGGCTACTTCGAAGAGAGTGATTACAAGGGAGGAGTGGGAGAAAAAGCTTAATGATGTGAAGATTAGGAAAGAAGATCTGAATAAATTGGTGATGAACTTTCTTGTCACCGAGGGTTATGTTGATGCCGCTGAAAAGTTTAGAACGGAATCTGGAACTGAACGTATCCTTTTTTTCTCCTAATAGCTTCCCCACTTTTTGTTTGCCCATTTCTATATCTGTGTGTTGATGGTACAATTCGTTGCAAGTTTTTTTCATTTTAAATATGTGCTATTCCTTATAGATAAATAGCAGACATAGATCTTGCTACAATAACGGATCGCATGGCAGTTAAAAAGGCAGTGCAATGTGGGAACGTTGAGGATGCAATTGAAAAAGTTAACGATTTGAACCCCGAGGTAGGATTACCCATCTGTTAATCTGTTATTATCTTCTTGAGGAAATATATGTTTTGTGACTGTAAATTGCCAAATGTGGATACTTGACTTGTTGATGTGTTAGAAATCGTATATCTGTACATATATTATAATAATTTTAGAAATTCATTCATACAAAGCCTTATCCCTTTATCTGGATATTGGGAGTTGCTGCATATAAAGATGATACTTTGTGTCTGCGTCTTCCAATCATAGGTTTTTGTGTGTTTTTCTATGTAATTGAGATAAGTAACCAGCTCATGGGGTCAATATTTAGTTGCTCAGTCTCCGCTCTTCTTTCCTTTATTATTTTTATTTTTATTTATTTATTTATTTTTTTGTGGATAAATCCTTTGATTCAGTCTCTGTACAGAATAATATGTATTTTGAACTACTGTACAGAATAATTTGATGGGGGTTCTTATTCTCTAAAAATGAGTTATATGGAGAAAACATTTACCAAACATAGTTTTGTCATATAAAAGGGCAGTAAAAGGAGTATATTGTGTGTGCCTAACTTCATATTTTGTAGTAGCCTAGGAAGATGCTCTGACTCATCATATATACTACATGGTACTCTTATTTGAAATAAGAGTTCCTGACTGAGATTTCACATAGTTTGTGCTAATATCAGTGACATTGATACATAATGCAATAAAAGTTGTTTCCTTTTTTTGTTTTATTTTTTATTGAATCTTATTGTTTCCTTTACTCTTCTATAATATTTTTTTGTTTCTCGTTTGCCCTGAATTGTTCTGAGCAGTAGTTTATTACTTCATCTGAACATTTGGAATCATCTGTACTCAGTAGTCATGTTTGTCACTTTGTTTTTATGAAGCAGTCTACAACTCATAATTTTCCTTCGCAATGTTGGTGACAGATTCCTGGTTTGACATAATGTGACATTTTCAAATGCAGATACTAGATACAAATCCCCAATTGTTTTTCCACCTCAAGCAACAAAAGTTGATAGAATTGATTCGGAATGGAAAAGTAGAAGAGGCTTTGGAGTTTGCTCAGGAGGAGCTTGCACCAAGGGGAGAAGAAAATGTAATTCTCAATTTCTCCTTTGAACTATTTCATAGCCCTGCCCACCCCTTTTGGATAATGTTTGAGTGAAATCTGTTACAGTCTTCCTCTTAAACCATTATGACCGAACTTTGGTTATCTCAATGTTTGTTCACATGTTGGTTGAAGTTATGTTTGATGCCAAACTTTAGGATTTCAATTTTTAGGGCTGAGCAAGGAATCCGTGAAATCCGTAATCCGATCCAGTCCAGTCCAATCCGATAGGTTTGGATTGGTTTTTTGAATCCGTGGTTCGGTTCCGGATTGAATAATTAAAAATCCGTAGTTCACGGATTGGTTCCGGATTGAATCCCACGGTTCTGGATTGGAACCGATCCGGACCGTATACAAATAGTGTATATTTTTATTATACATCCTCCCCCATAGTATCTTTTCTTATTCTATGTAAAATCTAAACTCAAACCTAAAATCGTATAATATCTTCTTTTATTACTTTTGTTTGTTAGTTTTAAGTTTTAATTTGCAATGGTCTAAATACTTATGGTGAAACCAGTTTTCTTATGGTTGTTTAAATTCTAGAACAGTATGTCGTTATTATAGAAAAACATGTTGCTATTATGGAACTAATATAGCGCTATGTTTATATTTTTATGAAATTCAAGTGTTATATATATATTTTTGTTATTTAATTATGTGAATCCGTGGTCCTAAACCGATCCAATCCGTATTTAAATGGATTGGTTCGGATTGGTTCCATGATTTAAACGGATTGGATTAGTTCCAATTTTTTAGGAACCGTAAATAACGGATTGGTCCTGATTTTATCCCAATCCGGTCCAATCCGGACCATGCTCACCCCTATCAATTTTCTTAGTTGAAAGGTCCTCAACCAAATATTGGTATTAAAGTTATTGTTTTTGCATGCTTTTGGTACTTATGATTTAATTGGAATCATATTCAGCAAAGTTTTTTAGAAGAGTTGGAGAGGACTGTTGCACTTCTAGCTTTTAATGATGTCAGCAACTGCCCCGTTGGAGAGCTTCTGGACATATCACAGCGTCATAAGACAGCGAGTGAGGTGAATGCAGCCATCCTTATGAGCCAGAGTCATGAAAAAGGTTAGTAATCTCATCCAATATGACATTTCAAGCATACAGCTGCTCAAGACTTTTTATTTTTTTATTTTTTTATAATCACAATATGGGTAGTCATAAACTGCTAATTTGACAAGTTGCGTCCATCTTCTTAGACATAATGTAGTGGTGGCCATGCATACCAATTCTTCTATCTATTTTTCTTTTCTTGATCATTGTTCACCAGTGTCTGCATTGTTAATCACAATTATAACGTGCCAGAAAGGTGCCAGGTTTATGTGGACCAGATCTGACAGACACTGACACCTCCTGGACATTTTTAGACGATTTCAACATAAATGGATGTTTCCATAATTTAAAAACAAAATTTCATTATTTTGAAATTTAACTAACACATCTCAAACACTCAGCAACACAACCCAAAATATCAAACATTTCTTTCTTCTTTAGAAAGTATTACTCCTACATCATACTAATAGCAGCCACAGGTCGAGAAAATTATCTTGCACTTCTTCTACAAGATAGGAACACATTTATAAAGTCAAATACTTGAAAATGAATTTTAATATTAATCTTTTACAATAGAAATTTAGAGTTTATCAAGGATCTACATATTTGAATAACTGATTATATAGAGTAAATTTTAGGGGATCTCCCTTGTGGTTTGGCCTTATTCTGCTAAACTACCACATTTCGAGAAACCTCTTAATGCGGAGCATACCAACAAGAGAAAAGGGAAATCTATATCATCACATAGAGCACATTTAGGGCATTATTTAGTGTCATTTTGGAATTAGGGTAAACTATCGATAGGTCCTAATAGTTGGACTTAGGCCTCATTTGGGAACAAGCTGTTTTAGTAACTTTTTGGTTTTTTACAAAAAGATGTGCAGAAAAGTAGAGAGAATGATGTGACAACTTAAAGTAACTTTTTGGCTTTTTGGCTAAAATATATAGTTGACAAACGAGGCCTTAATTCCTATCAAGTCTTGTTGAAAATAAGTTCACGTAAAATCGTTGCTAAAAATAATTTTTTGTGACGATTTTTTGCATGTCGCTAAAAATTGACAATTAGTGACTTTTTTTTGTCACGGTTTGTATAAATTGTTGCTAAAACTTACAATTAGTGACTTTTTCTGTGACGAATTTTTCAAACTGTCGTTAAAAGTTGAATATTAGTTACTTTTTTTGTGATGATTTTTTTAAACTGTTGCTAAAACTTATAATTTGTGACATTTTTTGTGACAAAATTCTCAGACTATCGCTGAAATTAACGATTAGTGACATTTTTTAATAGTGTTCAATGAAAAATGCTATTAATTATCATAGGATCTATTGGACAATAAGTCCATCTATTAGGACTTACATGTAAGTCTCCCTTGGAATAATTAGTCTTTATTTGTGTATGTTTTAATTTATTATTCTTATGGGCAAATTTTATATTATTATATTAGATTTTAGTAGTTAGGGGTATTTTGGTGAGATTTGACCATTGTATGGCGATGACCTGATCTATAGAGAACAAGGAGATGGTGATTGTGGTGGTGACATAGGCAAGAGCCACATTTGGCAACTAGTGAACAGTGGTAGTGGTTGTGGCAGTGTCAATTTGGGGAGATGGAGGATGGGTTGGGGGTAGCAGCCATGACAGAGATTGTAGGTAGAGTTGGGTGTTGATGGTAACAATGAGATTTTTAATGGAGATGGTGTAATGGAGGCACAAATGGGTGATGATGTGATGACAATGGTGGAGTTGGGGTTTGGTTGGTTCGAAGCAAAGGAATGAAAAGAGAGGAGTAGGGGTGTGGGGAGTGAGCATTGGCAGACACAAGGGGGGGACTAGGTGTGGCTGTGGCCCCTGCAAAATTTGTTAGAGCTTCAGTAACATGTTGCTGTGTTGATCTTTTGTTTGTAAATGGTGAAGGTGTGGCCCTCTCAAGGCTCACCAATTAGAAAATTATAACACATTAATATAAAGAGTAATCATATAAAACGAAATTTTGTATAGAATTTTTAATTCATTTTCAATTAGAACATGCACCATTGTTCTCATAATTTAAAATTTTTCTTTGACACATCATTTTATATGTTTTTTATGTGATTGTTGAATTTACAAATCATTTTTTAACATTAATCATGTTTCTAGTGGCTTTTTTGGGTTTCTTTTTAAAACTCCCTAATTGACAAGGTTCTGAAAAGCGGTTGCGATCGCCGTAACGGTGGCGGTGACGCGGTTGCGGTTGTGGAATGTAAAGGCCATAGTGTAACGGTTGCGGTGACTGGAACCGTGAATTTTTTTATTTTTCGCACAATTTGAATAAAACTTACCGATACGCACATTTTTTTTCCATGATCATATTTATTGGATTTTAAAATAAATATTGATCAATTTTTATAAATTTTTAAGTTTGATCTAATATATTTCATATTTTTAAATCACTATAAACTGAATTTTCTACATTTTATTTTAATAATTAATGACTTTGTATTATACAAAAAATCAATCACTAACTATTATATATAAGATTAACAATGACAAAAGTAAGAGAATAAATAAAAGCCTAAATATATATATATATATATATTTTTTCGAAAGAAGCAATTCGGAACCGTTACGTAACGGTGCGTAACAGGCCGTTACAGCTGTTACGGCACCGTTACAACAGTTATAGCAGCCGCTACGGCCTATACTTCTGTGAATCTCAATTATACTGCAAAAGCGGCCGTAACGGGTGGCGGTAACTACCACAACCGTTACGTAACGGCGTTACGTAACGGTTGCGGCCTTTTTTTAAAACCTTGCTCTTCCCCCATTTTCAACTTTTTTTTTTTTTTTGTCTGTTTTTTCGAAAGAAGCAATTCGGAACCGTTACGTAACGGTGCGTAACAGGCCGTTACAGCTGTTACGGCACCGTTACAACAGTTATAGCAGCCGCTACGGCCTATACTTCTGTGAATCTCAATTATACTGCAAAAGCGGCCGTAACGGGTGGCGGTAACTACCACAACCGTTACGTAACGGCGTTATGTAACGGTTGCGGCCGCTTTTTAAAACCTTGCTAATTGATGAATGAAATTATTATAGTTAGTTTTTGTGTTTAGTGTAAATTTTTTTTTAAAAAAAAAAAAAAAACTTTTTTATTAATAAGAAAAAGTACTTGTATAATTTTCTTTTTTTGTCTTGTTTTGTTTTGTACAATATATATATATATATAACTAATATTATCATTTTTTTCATAGAATTTTTTTTGTCAATTATATGTACGTGTAATTTGGCCCACTGTATAAATTTTGCATCTGCCACTGGGGATAAGTGTTGATGATGAGGCTTGCCTCCCCAAGTTGGAGATGGTAATGGCACTAACACAATGTTGATACTGGTGTTGTTGATGTGTGTGTTGATTTTGTTGTCCCATTTGATGGTTAGGGTCTTTTACAACTTACCATATTGCGAAGGATGCTGGAGGAGGGAGAAAGAATTCTCTCCTTTAAATTATAAGGGTGACGTGGCAAGACATTTTAGAGGGTTTTGCTTTGAAGAAAAGGAATGAAGAGAGAGGAGTTGGGGGTTAAGTGTTGATGAAGCTTGCTTCCCAAAGTTGGACTAACACAATGTGGGTGTTTGGGAAGTGGGTTTTTATGTAGGTTTTTTTAGTTATAGGATATTATTGGAGAAATTTTTTTTTGTATTTGGGAAGATAGTTGGATTTTTATGTGGTTGGATGTGATGTTTGTGAGAGAAAAAGTGAAATGATTATGGGGTTGGATGTGATATTTTGTTTGGATTTTTTTTTTTTAGTTTTGCAATAAGTTTGTCTTTTTGTAAAAAAAATAAAAAAAAACCCAAGTCCCAAACTTCCCAAACACCACCAATGTTGATATTGATGTTGGAATGTTGGTGTTGGCGGTCTCTATGATGATTTTGTTGTCCCATTTGATGTTTTGGGTCTTTTACAACAGCTCATATTGTGAAGGATGCAGGAGGGAGAGAGAACTCCATGCTTTGTTATTCTCTCCTTTAAATTAAAAGGGTAACATGGCAAAACATTTTATATGAATTTTGATTAGAAAAAGTTGGCTTATATCCCATAGTATACTCCCTTTTTTATTTTTATTTTTATTTTTTTATCTTTTGTTATTTATAACAAAAAGATTGTAATGCAATTTGAATACTAATTGCCATTTTGTAACAAAAAGACTGACGGTAAAGGAGGTTTTTGATTATTTTTGAAGCTTGTGGCGGCTAAGTGGATTATGCCCACGCCTTAGGCGAGTAGTTGTAATTTATCTTTATATTCTTGTAAAGCTATGTTCTTACCAATGTCTGTGGCTTATTCCCTTTGAGGATGTGTGTAACGTAGACCAATATAAGTAGGAGTGGTTTAATCCACGTTGAGAGTGTACTAAAGAAATAAAGGAAAGGCAAAGAAGGCATGGGTTGAGGTGTTTTGTTGTTTGATATACATTGTTTGGCTCATTTCCGAACAATTTATAGGCTGTTTAATGTTTGTTTCCATTGTATATGTTATTGTGCACTTCGTGGTCAGGTCGGCCACTCCTCACTTGTTTGCAACACAAGTTTTGAAACATATACCAGACATGCTTTTTTGTTTTTATTTTTACCAAAAATAAACATTAGCATGTTTCATGTTTTCTATAAATAAAAAATAATAAAACGTAAATGTTACCAATCAGCAATTTTTCTTCATGTGTTGATTCAGGAAACTGTTAAAAAAATATTGATGATAATATCATCAATCTTTTGACTATCCCAACTGTCTTGACCCTTGATAATTCTTGTTCAACTTTCTTGAATTGTATATATTAAATATTTGTAAAATGGGTATGATGAATTGAACCACAGATCCAAAGCTTCCAAGCTTGTTGAAAATGCTGGTATGGGCCCAGAACCAACTTGATGAGAAAGCTGCTTATCCTCACATAAAGGATTTATCTACTGCAACACTCGAAGATCCAGCTGTTTGAAAAGTGACAGAATCTTGGGTGGATGATCCTGGTATGCCCTTTTCATTGCAAATATTGAATAGAATGGACCAAGAGGAGTGGTTAATCATGTACTGTTATTTCAAAAAATGGATGTTGTCTAGGTAGGTTGTCATTCATGAATGGCATTTCATTTTAAGGTTTGGGGCGTGCCATCACCTTACTTTCCTCTCAAAAGCTGTTCAGTGACCTTAAAGTTGTTGTACAGATGTTTGTGAATACTCTTCACCTTTCAATTCAATGGTAGCATTCTTAGCTTTTTGTGTGAAACAAATTAGTATATGCTCAAGTTGATTTTATTCTTGCCCTCTAATAAATGGTTGACATATACTCATAATGCTGAAACTATAACTTGTCATTGCTGCGGACATTATTGTCACACACACACACACACACACACACACACACACTCTTGTTTTACAAGAAACAAAGGTTTGTGTAATGGCAAAAGATTGAGAGGCAAGCATGAGAAAGTGGATTTGAGTTTAAGATGAGCTGCGACTCAATTCAATAAACCTTTGTCCCAAATTTTTGGGATTGGCTCCATTGATCCATTTCCTCTGATTGGTTCTAATTTTTTTACTCAATTAAGTTTAAGATAGTCATGTCCTTTCATATTACCTCAACTCGTGTGTCTATGCTGGCTTCTATTTCTTTTATCACCTTCAATATGAATCTAATCACTCCTTACAAGTACATTAGTTAGTATATGATGTACTTGACAATACCATTTCAAGTGGCTTTTCCTCATCTTATCTTCAAATGGAGCTATTTTATTTATTTCTTATTCTATATTTTCTTGTAACTTCACTCATCTATCTCAATATTTTCTACCCACAAATATCAATTTATGGCTCAAATTTATTCTATATATAGATTTCACATTATACTGGTTCAATCTTCACCACACAAACAAATTATGAGTACAAATCTGGGGCAATTTTTTGGGTAACTAAGATTTCTGTTTCATTTTAGTTACCCTCATTTTGTGAACATTTTTTTTAACTGCCAAACATTTAGTAGTATACATTAAAACAAGTCTCATAGCAGATCTATAAAAATTTTCATTCAACTTCATATGAATTATCCCGTGTCTTGATGCACATCTCTATTTAAACCATCTTGTGCTAATTCTATGAGTTACCTCGTCCCCAATCTTTGAATAATTGACTCAAGATATCGAAAATTATCACTTTCAGATATCTCATGTTCATCAAATATTATTCTACCTTATCCCCATGTCTTTTTAGTTTTGTTAAAGTTAAACCTTTTAAATTGTATAATATCTCTCCACAATTCAGACTTGAAGTTTCTTCATTTTTTCCTCAACAAAAAGTATATCATCCGGAAATAACATACACCATGGAATGTCATATATTTTTTCATTAGTAGCCTAAATAGATAAATAACTTTCACAACAGATCTCCCAAGCATAAAAGAAAATTGATTTTTTGAAATTGTTGTCTCATATCTTTTTTTTTTTCGTTCTTTGCTCAATTACTCTCTACCAAAGTTTTTTCATTTTGTAACTCAGAAGTTTAGTACTATGATAAATATTGCAGTTTTATAAATATCATATTTATTCTTATACATTGGAACTTATTAATGTACTTTCCCTTCATTGACGAAGCATTTTCTTAGAATTTTACGATCTTGTGAAACAAGTTAGTCATCCAAAATGACTCATCATCAACCGAACACTCCCAAACTTCAATAGGACTTTCATTTCGTTTGACAACTCTTTTTCCACTTTCATTTTCTTCATATCATCCTTTACCTTCATTACTCTAATCTTTTGCAAAAGAATTTATAATTAATAATACTACTAATATTATGAAGTTATACTAGACTCAATTTTTTTGAGTGACTTTCATTGACAGTTCATATATATCTTTATCACCATTTGTAGAATCTAATTTAAGGAAAAGATCATTATAAACTTTCAACTTAGTTCTCTTGTTACTTTCTTGGTTTTGGTTTTGACTACTTTTTATATATTTCCAAATTTTCGTTATGCCTTAGAAAGCTTTTTGATGATGTCATTTTCTATTGATTATTTTTTGAACATTTTCATTCAACACCAAGTTTCTTTAGATAGTGTAGATGCAGAAGCAATAAAGCAGATTTGTCTCTGTGGAATCCAGGGATGGATTGAATATGTTTTTCTTCTTCCTCTTTCATGTCCCAAGTTGCTTTTGATTTGGAGAATTTTCAGCTTTCTTATTGCTTTTTTGTTTGAAGAATAGTTTGACAATGAACAGAGGGAAGACATTGTACCATGTTTTGATTTGCCTTTGTTTTGAGAATGTCGAAATGGCATAGTCATCTGCAGGAGTTCATTGTTGATAGTCTCCAACTTTTGGGGTTTGTTTTCATTGAAATTAAACTTTTGGGGTTTGTTTTCATTGAAATTAAACTTTTGGGGTTTGTTTTCATTGAAATTAAACTTTTGGGGTTTGTTTTCATTGAAATTAAACTTTTGGGGTTTGTTTTCATTGAAATTAAACTTTTGGGGTTTGTTTTCATTGAAATTAAACTTTTGGGGTTTGTTTTCATTGAAATTAAACTTTTGGGGTTTGTTTTCATTGAAATTAAATAGATTCAAGACGTCTGTTTCTCTTTCGTGAACCCTTCAATTATTCCTTGCTCTAGTTGGAAATCTTATTATTTTCCTAGAACAGACATGAATTTCTTTCATACAATATTTAATCAAGAAAAAAAAAAAAAAAGAAAAAAGAAAAAAGAAAAAGAAAAAAAGACACCCACATCAATTTGAGGATATGAAACAAACATAATTAAAAGAGAGGGAAAAAAAAAAACTGATGTGTCTTAGCATAACAAGACATCCCTCCTAGTCCTACTACACAAATCAAATTTCATGCACATAATTTCTCAACAATAACACTACTCAAGTGATGAGTAGTGTATTATATATTGAAGGAATTTTTGACTTCTGATACTAATATTCGCTAATATATCAGTTGATACTATCCGATATGACAGTATTGCTTATTTGAAACCGTGGTGATAAGTGTCTAGCCAGAGAACATAAGCCCAGGTATTTGTAGTTTCTGGGAAACCCTTGTGGAATGCATTTGCTTCTTTCTCTCCCACACTGCCACAATCACCATTGTCAAAGTTGAGAGCATAACTCGACGGATCGTACTGAAACTTGAATTGTTGTTTGCCTCTGGCTTTGCCTTTGCCTTTGCCGCCACGGTTCTTCACCGCCTTCTTCAATCTCCAGAAAAGGCTCCTGCATTGCCTCTTACTATAGCTATTCATCCATACAATGTTTTGAACCAAACCCATATCGAATATAACTCTCTTGATATAATGTTTTTTAAGCAAAAACCCAAATTGTAATCTTCTCTAGAAAGACATTTTCTGGGGAATTAGATTTGGGGAATTTATGAGAGCATTTGATTGTGATGTTGGGCCGAAGAAACTATGAACTTTGGTTAATTTGGTAGGTTTGTTTGTGTGTGTCTGTTTGGGAGCATAAAGAAGTTGGCAAACTCAATACACTGCTAAAATGACTACTTTGTGTTATTATAGGTCGAGACATTGTAAAAACAAGAATAATATTATACACTCATAAAAAAATATTCAAAAAAACTAAAAATCAGAACTTCAAATATGTTGATCACCTTCATCCCCAAGTAGTGTGACTCATGTTTTAAATTTAAATTTAAATTGTAGATATTTTATGAATTAAACAAGTTTATCTTTCATTCTTAATTAGACTAGAAAGATTCGATTAATGCACTATGAACCTAATTTGATAATCTGAATAATTTATCTTGTAAATTTCTTTAAACAAATCTTAGATAAAATAAGACTCCCACTACCCCCACAGGCCTGTGATAGGCCAATTTCTTTTTCTTTTTTTTTTTCTCCTCCGCCTCCTCTTCCTCCAATCACCAACCCCCACATATGTGTGGGGGGCGGTGGAGGTGTGGGGGAGAGGGGGTCCGGATTATTTTTTTATAAAATAATACATGTTGATATAATTATTATATAATATATGTATATGTATTATATTTATCCTGAAAAAATAGAGGTGAGATAAAATAAAATGTGAGGAATGGGGCAATAGTACGGAAACCGAAAGCGAAAGAAGGAATGCAAATCTTTTTGGTCTTTGAAAGAAGCTTTTGCACCTTTTAGTCACTGTTGGTGCTAATGCTTTTCTTGCATTGGAACACTCAAATTCCATGAGAATATGGTCGGATGTGGTTGGGCAGTGAGCCTATGTGGTCCTATCACTATCAGATTGTGATGGACTTTGCTCAAAATTTCATTTTATTCTTGAATTCTACATCCTATTTTTCTATCCGGGTTGGGATTTTTTTACATTTAAATTTGAATTTTAAAAAATTTGAGGAGTGAGTAAGATATGAATTTTGATTTAAGAATTTAAATTATTTATTCCATAGAACTCTTAATATATATCATTTATGGAGAAAAAAATTAGTTTGATTTGATAATCGTAATTTTTTTTTATTTTATCTCTTTTAGCTCACAAAAGAAGATATCATTTATTTTTTAGAGACAAACATGATAAAATAAAAAGATTATGATTATTAAATCGACTTAATTTTTTCATGAATAATATACACAGAGGACATTACAAAATAAAATAGTTCATATCATCAAAACTGGACCTGTAAGAGCATCTCCAATGGTGTATCTTTTTTTTTATTATCAAATTTGAGTAAAAGTTTCATTTGACATCAAGTACTCCAACGGGATTTTTTAAAAGCTTCATCAAACACCAGTTGGCCAGGCGAATGTCCAATTATATAAGTTTTTCAGTTTTAGTTTATTCTATGTTAGAGTTTGTCCAATTATATATAGTTGAAAATTTTATTCATATTTTCTATTTAAATATTTTTATATTACAAAAAAATAAATTTTATTTGGACTCTTCTTTTAAATCTCAAATTAGATGAAATTCAAATGTGATTAAAATTTTATTTTTAATTTTCCATCTACAAATTTTAAAATTACAAAAAAAAAAAAAGAGAGATTACATAGACCAGTAATTTTATACATGTATATCTTATGCCACATATTTTAAATTTTTTTAAATAAAGAATAGATGGTTTTAATTTGGTTAAAATATATCGTTAAAAATATATATATTTTAAAACATGACACGTGTACTTTTTAATTTATGTTTACTTGTGCCATGGGAATTTCTTTTTTAATTAATAGATGTGCTGTAAATATTTTGATGCCTAAAAAATTCTTAATTCTTTAGATAC